GAAAGGTAGAGGAGGACGAGCTAGAAGATGGTGAGATAAAGGAGGAGCCTGAGCGGGGCAAGAGAAAGAAAGGTAGAGGAGGACGAGCTAGAAGATGGTGAGATAAAGGAGGAGCCTGAAGTGGGGGCAAGAAGAAAGAAAGGTAGAGGAGGACGAGCTAGAAGATGGTGAGATAAAGGAGGAGCCTGAAGTGGGGCAAGAAGAAAGAAAGGTAGAGGAGGACGAGCTAGAAGATGGTGAGATAAAGGATGATGATGGCCAAGTACCTGAGGGAGGAGTACCTGAGGCACAGACACTTGAAGTGGAAGTACCGGAGGTTAAAACGCCAACGGTCGAAGGCAGAGGTGTGGAGTCACTGCATGTCGAGCAAGAGTCCACCCCCGTTGCTGTTGAGACTGATTTGGAGGGGACGCAAGAGCCCCAATCTCAGGAAGAAGTTGCTCAAGCTGAATTGGACGTTGCGGATGGCAAGGAAGACAAAATGCAGGGAGATAAAATGCAGGAGGAGCAAAAGGATGTCACCCAACTGCCTAAGGAGGTCCTTCAGCTACGTGAGGTCCTTCAGCTACGTGAGGTCCTTCAGCTACGTGAACAGCATGGCGAAATCCATAATCAGTCTGAGCGTGTCCCCCATAGTCAGCCTACTCAAGAGCTTAGTATTAAGGAACCTAGCCCTCACCCAATGTCTGGTGTGACCTTCATTGGTCGTTCGCCGCACCAGCAAAAGTATGAAGAGTTGGAAGTTCCTTACCAGACGGCAGATCGCACACTTACGCATGACCGTCCCGACGAGAAAGAAGTTCGGGAGACTGTAGCGGAAGCGAAAACCTATTGGAGAAAATTCAATTACGGAGGGGTAGATGATGTATTGAAGGCGACGACGCAAGATGTCCCGTTCATATGGAGGGGTAGTCCGAAGGGACGGAGAATTGTGCATCAAGATGGGACACAGTATAAGCCGTCGAGTACGATGTTCCAGCAATACAATACCAAAGGACTTAGGCAGGTAAGTGTGTTTCCTATCGCAGGTATGTGGTCCAGTATCTTCAAGGCCACCAACGTCTTCAAGGCCACGAACAATGACAGACGGACCCAGTGGAGACTTACCGATGCCATCAACAATCAATTCTACCGTTTGTACCATAAGACAACCACATTGAGCATCCGACGACCACATTAAGCATCCGACGACCACATTAAGCATCCGACGATTAAGCATCCGACGACCACATTAAGCATCCGACGACCACATTAAGCATCCGACGACCACATTAAGCATCCGACGACCACATTAAGCATCCGACGACCACATTAAGCATCCGACGACCACATTAAGCATCCGTCGTTAACTCTGATAATAACATTTTTTCGTCGTCATGCGAATTGCCACACACATTCACTGCCACACACATTCACTCTCCACTGCCACACACATTCACTCTCCACTGCCACACACATTCACTCTCCAATCAAGCTTCTCCAATCAAGCCAAGTACTTCCCTGGGCGATGAGTGCCCTTTCAAGAGTAGGGTCCAATGCGGGGGGATTGCCAGCTATACGTCCGAGCTCCTTCTCATTCTGTTCACGCCCGTGGAAAGTTTGTTCAAGAATGAGGACTGAGTCTCCCTTAACGGTGAAATTAAAGTTGGCCTTTCCTACGCCGTCCGGAAGCGGCTCCTTCCTATCCCGCCGCACCCCTTTTGAGTCCGGTGTGCGGATGTATAATGAACTTGCTTGATTGTAGTACTTCACTCGGCGTCGAGATTCGAAAGATACATCCACCATTTGCAATCGTACAGTAGTTTCCTGCTCCGCTTCCTCTGTCGCACGCGTGTGCACATTCTGATCGCGGTGATCCAAAGCCTTTGACAACTCCGCAACTGTCATGAGGTGGACGTCAAGCTCCAATGCGTTCGACAACTCCGCAACTGTCATCACACGAGCGTCAAGCCCCCATATCGGCCGCTGTCTGAAAACTCTCCGCCGCATTCTCTTAACATCATCCAATTCAACCACGAACACCACCTCGTCGCTTCTTTCCGAGAAAAGTCCTTGGCCCCAAAGCACAAATGTGGCGACCTTTTCAAGCGTAAGACCTGAAGTGGGTGCAGACCATCCAGCCACAAACCTCATCCACAAAAACAGGGAGGGGGCTTTTTTAGGGGACTTTTAATCTGCCCCCGTCTGGAATTGACAGTGTAGGCAGGCCTGGCTACGATAGAGTGTAGGGAGGGGGAGCACGATGCTCAAGCAGCCACGGCGGACTCCACCACTGAGAGACCGCAGTCTCAGTGGTGGAGTCCGCCACGACAGTTTGTTGGATTGGGTGAGTGGGTGGTGGGTTAAACGAAATAGGACACGCCCTTCTTGGCGGTGGGTTAAACGAAATAGCACACGCCCTCCCTGGCGGTGGGTTAAACGAAATAGCACACGCTTTTTCTGGCGGTGGGTTAAGCGGCAGCTCTCGAAGTTGCTGAACTCGGGTTGTCGGGTTCGGTTCTGAATGGGTTGCACGTTTGTAAGCAGCCTGGTAAAAAGCTAGCCAATCAATTTACAGTTGAAAATGAAGACGAGTGTGTGTGGTAGTACGAATAGGTGTGTGCTGCGCTTGTTGGGAAGTGTGATGACTCCCGAGGGGATACGGCCACCGGTTGATGGCTGCGATGTAAAAATGATGGAATTACGTGGCATGCAAAATGATCACATCATTCAGTTTGTCGTCCTCGTATCGAGGGGAGCTTTGTCGACCCGTGATGAAGTTGCCCGTCTGTGTCAAGAGGGTAATTGGCTGGAACCATGCACCCGAATTTTAAAGTACGGTCATTGGAGTGGTCTGGCTCAAGCGATGGCAGTTCGTGACCTTAAAGAGTTCCTCCATCGAGTCGACCCGGAAGGCAAGTTCTCAGATGTTTCTGACCAGGTTTGGTGCGACAGTTTCGGCCAGCCTTTGGAGGAGTTGCAGGAGTTACTGGAGGAGGCTCGCGAGTTAGAACCCGCTTCATTGGACACATCATTGAAGGTTATCGACTGCCGGGATTTGACAGACCTGGAATACAAAAACTTACCTCTCCTGCCCGAGTGGCGACCCGTCCTCTCGGTCCACCGGCCTTGACCCCCCCTTGACCCCCCCCCCCCCCC